CTGCTGTACGGCAGTTTGCCCTGCACAGGCGGGAGCCCATGGGGAAACGTCAACAAGCAAACTGAGGAAGGATTGGAACGCATCAAGGAGCAACAAAAGGAGTTCACCAAACTCTTCAAGAGCTTCGCCAAGCTCGTGCGTGACCACCTTGACTCAAGAACGTCTGTTGCCTTTGAGCTTTCCCGTCGCTGTCGCTATTGGCATTGGCCGTCGGTGTTGGCTTTCATCAAACGCCACAACTTGCAAGGATACAACTTCGATGGATGCATGTTTGGTGTGCGCGATAATCACGGTAATCTTATGCGTAAGAGTTGGCACATATGCACAAATCTTCATGAGCTTGCATGTCTTGAGCAATACATGTGCACACATGATCATACTCATGGGCAAAGTAGAGGCAAGTCATTGAAGAGTGCCGAAGGTTACACGTTCGAGTACACTGATCTTGTTCACCGCTGCTTCAAGCATAGCAGCTCAAGTCATTCTGCCGCCGTCGCGCAGCGCGCCCTGCCAGCGATCATTGTTGATCACACCATGTCGGCTGACCAAGACATGCGCAGGGAGACCTTGGACATCTTCGAGTCGCACTTTCGGCAGATTGTGGCCTCCGGCTACTACCTCGAAGACGGATATTCTGAGGATGTGGACGCGGTGCTGAATGGCGTCCTTGGCCAGCACACAGCACATTCTGTGCTGGCGGGCCTGGTCGAGAAGAACCGATGGCTAGAGCCGGAGTTGGGCCCGTTGATTCGGACCTCACGGTATGATCTAGCCGCCTTCACAGGTGTGCCCACGAGCCAAGACTACCAAACGGTACACGTCTTGATCTCTGATTCCACCTTGTGCTTGGTTAGCGGTTCGAAACGCAAACCCCAGAGGTTCGATCTGGCCGATACTTCCAGGCCTATCGTCCGACTTACTGCAAACATTTTCATCACGAATGCCTCTGGGGTGCAGAGTTGCCATTGTTGCTGAAACGAGCCCGTATTGCCGTGAGGAGCCTAAAGCGCCAGTTCCCAGGCTGCATGCTGCTGGTTGGCGTGGTATGGGCTGGCAACGAGCTCATTGGCAAGAAAGGAATTGAAGCTCAGACTTCATGGCCCTTCGATCATCCTGACGGCGATCACTACATGGAGCTACAGGACAAGGTGCAAGAAGAGCTGGTCGGGTTTGCCGCCGATATGTTTCGATACGGTGTGCACTCGGCCGCTCTCATCAGCGCGCCCGATCCTGAGACCTACAGCTTCACGCGGCAGGGACCCTACAGCGACTGGTTCAACCGGCTGAGTCAGTGGTTCCAGGATGAGGTGTATGGTTCTCAGATCGGCAAGTGTCGCTTCCGCCTAGTCAACATCAACGTCCTCAACATCCGCATGGACTTGCGTGACCAATGGCATTGCGAAAAATCGGACGAGAATGCAAATCATATGTTCTCATTTTGTCAGAGTGTATTCCACCTGCTTATGAGACTCTACGTTCTCGGAGATATCGCATTGGAAGTAGCTGCCACCATGATGAACCGTCCGCTCGGTGGACTTGAGCTTCGTGATGATCGCCTCCCTCCACATCAGCGATACGAAGAGCTACTCCGAAACCTTGCCGATGTCCGCCACAAAAGGGCAATCGCCGCAGCCGAGCTCACCGCTCGCGCCCTTACCAAGAAGGACGTCGCTGCGGAGCAGCCAAACCGTGCTGCGCCGATTACCGAGGCAGACATGGCCGTCATCGATGATGAGCCCGAAGGGGAGGAAGATGATCCAGACCTTTCGGAGATTTTCGTCGCAAATGACGCCACGGCAGAAAAGATCCTCCAGCAACGCCTTGATGTCATGGAGGAAGAGCAGGAGAAGATTGCTGCAGAGCTGGACATCAACCGAGAAACCTATGAGGGTCGGCTCCAGACGCTTGAGGAACTCAGCCATCGCGTTGAAACTGGTGAAAACCCAGCGGCATGGCTCGACATCGATGCCATCGATGATGAGGATGTATCGCCGTATGAGGAGGTCGTGCCAGAAGAACATGAAGAAGAAAGCGCACCTCATGGTGAGGAAGGCTCGGCCGCCATCATTGGCGAGCCCGAGCCTGAGGCACCCTCATCGCCGCCGGCAGCTGATGCTGACGAAGGCCACGTTGTGTGCTCTCAGTATCTTGCAGACCAATACCACGAGTACACGTACAAGATGGCCGAGGTCGATGGCGCCTTCCAGCAAGTGGTCCAGCTTGGCGACAAGCAATTGCCGCTCCACTTTGCGAGCGGATGGGAGCTCAATGGCGGGCACCTTTTCTTCGCGAAACCCCTCAAGGATTGGCTCACCCAGTTATCCAAAGTTGTTCGACAACATGACCAATATCTGGGCCTTGAGGTTGACGAAGATGGCTACGCAGACTTGGACGAAGTAGCCAGGTGTTTCGGCCTGAATCACCGCAGTGCCCCGCCGCTCACCGTCAAAGACTTGATCGCCATAGCAGCAAAGGACAAGAAAAACCGATTCGAGTTTTTGGGCATTCGAGAAGGGCACAAACTCGAGGAGAAGGGCGTGGCACTATGGCCTTTGAAGATGCGCGCCGCTGCTGGCCAAAGCAAGCACGCGATCAAGAGCGCACAGGACAACTACAGATCGGCAGCCCTGATGTACTGCAGTCCTGCGCTCAGGCCAGAAGCCAAAGCTCCCTTCATTGGGAAGCCCATCGCCAAAGCGGATGAGATCCCTGTCTTGGCCTACCACCGCACGAGGCCAGCGTGCTGGAAGCGGATCGTCAAGGAGGGCCTTATCCCAGGCGGGGGCGAGTTTGTTGGCAGCGATCGAGCCCATGTCTACCTGGCTGCAAGTCGCATTACGGAGACCGACTATCAAAGCGGTCTCCGCGGCAAGCACCCTATTCAGCTTACCGTTGCACTTCGGGAAGCAGTCGATAGCGGTCTCATCTTTTTCCAGAACCGCTCCGGTGGGATCATGACGGTTGACACGGTACCTCCAGAATACATTGTCTCCGTCGAAAACACCGAAAGCCAGTCCACACTCTGGACCAAGGTAAGCGCCGTTGGCCTACCCGAGGCTGCTCCAGCGGATGGAGGTGAGAGCCGGGCCGCCATCACTGGCGAGCCCCGGCCAACCGCAAAAGCAATGCCTGTTTCCCTGACCGCAACCAGCAAATCGGCACCTGCAAGCAAGGCTGCACCTTCGACTCCACCTACTTCCATCGTGAATGTGGCAGAGCAAGATCAACCTGAAGCATCTTACAGCGGGTGCGCTCCGCCTGAGCCTGCGGGGCCTCCACCTGGCTTTGATGCGCCGATCACCGCCCCGACACTTCGAAAGGGACGCAAGCTGACGGTGATCCAGGTCGAATGCAGCCAGTGCAAGGGTCTAGTCCTCAGGGGCATGACCCACTGTGACATTTGTTCAGCCGAACTTGCCACCAACACCGAGCTGCCGGAGGAAGCCGTCACCAGACTTTCAGTTCTCCGAAAGCAGCAGCTTGCGAGGGCCGGCCTCGCTCGCGCTGAGTGCCCAGTCAGCGACTACATCAAGGCTGGCCTCAACCTGCGCGTGGTGTCTGCAAGCGGCCGTGGAAACATGAGCCCAGAAGCGATCATGATCCAAGACGCTCGCAGCCGGATGAAGCGTGCAGACAAGTGTGGCTTCCAGAGCATCGAGGATCGCTTCGAGCATGACGTCCAGTTCATGGAACGAATGCTACAAATGGGCTATGACCATCGGGCAGCGCAGCGGCAGGATTGGCTTTGCCATGCTCACTTGGCGAACCCGCCGCGCAACAAAGCGCAAGTCAGCCTGGGCCTTGGATATGACGAAGATCATTCTCTGGCACGGCTGGCCTACATCGACGTAGCGCCCGATCGCTATCCACAGGCCATGGACTACATTCCTGAGCAATGGTGCGTGATCTATCGCACAAACATCCTCTCCTTGCGTGAGTACATCGAGTACATCAACTCACCCGACTCCCATCGTGGCCTTTTGGCTTGGGACGGTGTGCATCAGATGAGTCAATACTGCGCAATGGAGGAGATTCGCCAGCTATGCCATGACAACCTCTCCGCTGCCAGGCGTGATGTGGTCAACAAGCAGACTCAAGAGCAGCGCCAGCAGCAGAGCAAGGGCAAGCGCAAGTCCTCTACCGGAGGTGATGGAACTCCAGCTTCAAAGGCAAAGGGAGGTCCGCCACCTTCACCGGTGAGCCCACGTGCATCCGGATCAGCATCGTCCTCGTGGGGATGGAGCTCATGGAACTGGAGCGAGTGGGGCGAGCAGCGGCAGTGGGACCGCCGCTCGTGGGACTGGAGCTCGAGTCGGAGCCAGTGGCATTGGCGTTAGTTGAGCCAAGTCTCAACCTTTTTGCCTGAGCGAGCATAATTCATTGCATGACATCCATTGTCAATATGTATGCGGTTTTCCTCCCAAGTCCAAACTTTCAATTTCTTTTGGCGGCGGGGAGTGAATAATTAAAATGCACGTACAGGGCCACGAAGGCAGTGGATTGCTAGCGTCCACAACTGCCATGCAGCTTTGAGCCGACATCACTGTCGCGCCCTGCACAAGCCCTCGTGCACTTTCCGCGTCCAGCTTCGGGAGCAAAGCTACCTTAGCTGAGGGGGGTGTATTTTCACTCCATGTAATATGTACATTTTGTACCTTGCACATAGTAGGATGTCATGTTGACTTTACCTTCGCAGCTCGCGGCCCAAAACAGGAGTTGCAGCTTAACGGCTGTTTCTATAGATTGCTTAATCATCCACAATGAAGAGACCCTTTGACCAAACCAGGCGTTGCTTGTATGTTAAACTGGCTGCAAAAAAAGCGTAAAGTTGAGTAGAGGGTGACAGTGACTGCTCCGCTAGTCAAGACCAATTCAGCATGAACTAGAATGATTTCATGTGACTTGACGGATATTAGCGGAAATTAGTGAGATCCAAATGATCAAGGACATCTTGATCATTTTGATCCTGCATCTCTTGCATCAATGCAGCTGCATTCCAGGTAGCACCAATGCAGCTGATGACTTTGAGCTTCTGGTGTCAACGTCTTAGCCTTCGTTCAAGATAAAGGCTTTCGTCAAACTTGTGGATATGGGCATTTTATCCTGCAGGGTGTGCCGAAACTCTTTGAGCATGTGTTGAATCATGGTGAATCTCTTTAAACGCTTGCGTAGTTGCTTGCGTATGCTTGCCTTCGTACGACTTCATGAGAATCGCAGACTCCCCTTTGGACCAGTATGGGGCCCCACAGGCTTTAAGCTTATTTGCAGCACGGATTTTCGAAGACTCACTACTTACAGGTGATCGGCCATATTTTCAACTGGCCTGGTTACTTTCAAGAACGATGCACAGACAACTGCAGAACAAGTTCATGTTCAGTCTGTCTTTCAAAAGCCGAACTTCCTCAGTTTTCCCAGGCCCTGCGGTCCTGGAGAGATTTTTCCTGAAAACAGATCTGCCTGGGCCCGAAGTTGATGTCTTGCTTGGACAGTTTACAAGCGGGAGACACTTGGATGATCTTGGAAGTAGATGCCTGCCAAAACGTAGTTTCCAGCAGCGGGTTGGCTTCCAAAAGCACCGAACGTGTAGGAGTCGTCGGATCATCCGACTTGAAAGCAGTCTTACCTGCCGAGAACTCAATGGTGTGAGCGCTGCTTTTTCCATCTCAGCTGTTCAAACGCCGTGCTGCGCGCAGTGCAAAGTCTGGCGCTTCTTTCAACCGCGCCAGCACGGTTTCAATCCGACAGAGCCATGTGCCTCACACTATGGCTGATGGCGATGTTCGTTTGGGATAGCTGGGCTGTGCATGTGGCCTTTGTCGCGCCACCTGCCTCGCACTATGCGCCTATGCTGCCGATTGCACATGGGCTGCTGGACGATGGACATCAGGTGAGTTTTGTGGGCTTCAATGAGACTGCACCTTGGCCGAAACTACGGACTGATCAAGCTATGACTGCTTGACAGCTGGAACTCTTGTAGCGGGTTGTCTGGATACAAACATCACATATCTGCAGAAATTGGATGAATTTGGGAGAAATTCATCCAAATCGATCCAAATCGCCTAGTCTGGTGAGGACTTGGCTCCAGACGCTTGTGATCTCAAACACATCGAAACAGTAAGAGCCATATATAAGCGATGAGGCCGATGGGTCCGTCCGGATGGGTCGGCCTCTTCAAGGTACAGAAGATCAAAAAGCTGGTGCCCAAGGCAGGGCTGGCCTCCGGGACGCAAAGTGGGAAGGTGGGAGGGTGGGAGGCTGAAACAAGATCAAGGAAACATGAAAGGAAGACGTAGACATGAAAGGATGTCACATCATTCAGATGACTTTTTCAAAGGACCATTGCGTTCAACTGTGTTCCTTAAGAAACAAAGAACTACTGTATCTGGGTCTTCAGTAAGGGTCCCGGAAGGTCACGGTGACCAATCAGGGAGAGCCGCTTCGCTTGAGCCTGGAAGTGCTTAGGTAGGCATTGGTCCTATTCCATTTGACCGGGAGAAGATGGCACCGATGCAAGAGGTCATCCAGAGCATCGAGTACAGAAAGGCACAAGTCTTGACGACTATGGTATTCCCCATGCTCAACAACATGATGGGGGGTCCAATGGCAACAGCCATGAAACAGCAGTTGATGGACTTGAAGCCAGAGACTTGGTAGACTTGGTCGAATCTGTCTGATACAGCTGGAACAGGTCCCCGAACGCGGTTCAGTCTCTTTGAATCGGGAGGTGTCTGGAGGGATCCTTCACACACCTTCTTCAGTCACAACTTCACACTTTAGACACAGCTTCTCCATGATAGATCATAACAGCTTCCAAGCGGGTAGCGCCAAACCCACCATGCTTGCTCAAGCAATTCCGTGGGTTCGGAGAGGTTGGGACTGGTGTCCAGATCAACCATCCAGTTCATCTATGCAGAGGAACTAAAATAACTTTGCCACTTCCTTGTCACCACTTGAACCCCCGGAAGAGAACCGAGTGGTACCAGAAAAGGATGTTATCAGGTGGCATAGCTGCAACAAAACAGGCTGTGCCAGCAAAACGGTCTCTTGTCATCTCAGGATGTTCTGTGTGTGTCTCACATCTATCCCATCTTGTACGCTTTGGGCGAAGTCCTCCAAATCCCTGTGGTCGGCATCGGCTGGGCGACTCCGAGCTTCTTGACCATGCAGATCGACCTTCCGTGGGCCACGGAGCCCAATGTCGGCTCCATCCATTCACGCCAGGAGATCTACCAGAATCCGATGCTCTTAGTTGAAAACACTCTAGCACCTTGGTGCGCTCAATTTCGATTTTCATCATGTGTTTCGGATCGTTTTTTCGTTGTTTCGGATCGTGCGGATCCTGTGCCAGGTGCGGATCTTCGGGTTCTTCATGCTTCGCATTGGCAGCGTCGTGAACATGTGGTATCGCTTCAAGCTGGGCCATCCTCGGCCCTTGGAGGTCTGGGAATTTGACGCCGTCTTGCAGCATCCGCTGGTTCCTTGACCATATTCTTTATCGGATGAGTCACGCACGCTTCGCGCGTTTTGCTTGAGGACGCGTAAGTCGCGTTTCTTGGGGTGTGTCATATGGTGTGCCACATGGTATCCAACAACCATCCTTTGTCGCCGCTGTCGAGGTGTGTCTCTGTCGACAGATGTGACAGGTCGTGACGTCTCTTCCAGAGCTTTCAGCCGGGATGCCATCGTTGCTGAGCCCCTACACCTTCCCGGTCGGAGTGCTCGATCATGTGGCACTTGAGGGTAGCGGCATGATGAAAAGTGATGATCAAGAGAAGATCATTGCCTGGCTTGATGCGCAACTGGCGGAGCCATGCCTGACGGGTGTTGAGATAAGCTTGGCCTAGACAACCTTCTGTACAGGGTGAAACTTCGTGCATGTTATGTTATAATATATGCTGTGGTGCACTCCACCATCCTAACATGACAGCAGCAGCTGATGTTGCACATTGACAAGGCCGACAATGCCCAATCTCACAGTTTTGCCACTGCGTAAAAACTACCAACCATGCCCAACCAGAATCGAACCAACCCCATCGACAGTTTTGGGGCACACATCATGTGGTGCATGATCAATACCTTGACAGCTATGGCAAGCGTGTATTGTCAGCGCTACATTTGTCAGGGTGGTTGGTTTCCTTCGCCAGTCATTCCGAGTCATTCTGTTGATCTTCCAGACCCTTATTGCCAATGTAGGTGCCCCCCACCTTTTCGAAAAACAGATCCCACAAGCGGTCGATCCTTGGAACGATCCACTTTTTCCATGTTTGTCAGTCTCTTGTTGCTCGTGGCCCCTCGTACCTCTTGAGCCTCATACGTGAAAAGGAGAAGAAGAAGGTCCTCTACGTGGCCTTTGGCTCGGAAGTGCGTGTGGGAAAGGCTCACGCGACTCTCTTGGTGGAGGCATTCAAACTGGGAGCTTTCACCGTGACATGGCACCGACACATCAGCACACCGACGTCGACGTGGGTGTGTTCATCGGGAGATCCGTTGTAGTGCTTCGGTTCCCCTTTTTGCCCGGCCGGCATCGCTACGAACGTAGCAAGTGCATCGCTGCTAGTAACAAGAAGCTACGAACGTAGCTAGGACTAGTACCACTGGATAAACCTAGGCTACTAGTAACAAGTGCATCGCTAGTAGTAACAGGTGCCTTACTAGTAGTAACAAGAAGCTAGTAGAAACAAGTGCATCGCTACTAGTAACAAGTGCCTAGGCTATACTTTCTCGACCTCTCGAGCTACTAGTAACAGGTGCCACGCTAGTAGTAACAAGTGCCTTACTAGTAGTAACAAGAAGCTAGTAGAATTAATTAGAATTAATAGCAAACATTGTTTCTACTAGTAAGGCACTTGTTCCTACTAGCGTGGCACTTGTTACTAGTAGCTAGGACTAACACTGGATAAACCTTATAGTAACAAGTGCCTTACTAGTAGTAACAAGAAGCTATTAGAATTAAATTATCATAGCTTTTTGTTACTACTAGTAAGGCACCTGTTACTACTAGCGTGGCACTTGTTACTACGCTATACTTTCTCGACCTCTCGAGCTCCCAGGTTCTTTGGGCGACGAAGGTGGCTCCACCAGTGCCCGTGCCCGAGCACGTGCTGGTCACCAAATTCGCACCTCAACGAGCGGTCCTAAACCATCCGGCCGTTTTTGGATTTGTGTCCCATGGTGGGATGAATAGCGTGACACTGGGGCAGTAGCAAGTTCTCTATTTTTTGTCAGCTCTTTTGGCTTCAGATGCTATAATTATACAAGTAAGCCAGTCTTGTCCACAGTTCAGCTCGTGCACGATCAATTTCATGTTCAATACTTCAAAGACATTCAAAGACAACATATAACTTAACGTGTTTTTTGCTGAGGTGAATGAAGCCCTGGCTTTTGGCAAGCCCATGGCCATCATGCCCTTCATGGCAGATCAGATGATGGTGGCGGTGGTTCACCGTGATCTCGGTGTCGCTGTCTTGGTGAACAAGAATGAGGCAACTCCTCAAAACCCAGGTTGGAGGCCATCGCTTTTAGTTTGGAGGCCATCGCTATTAGGCGAAGTTAGCTTCTTTTATATTTATTGTTTTGAACTGCTATTAAGGACGCTACTAGGGGCTGGGCATCGCTACGAACGGAGCGATCGGACGCTACGAACGGGGCGTCATTTGGCCGTCAATGAGGCAACTCCTCAGAGCCTCACGGAGTCCATTCGCCAGATTGCCAGTGAAGCGTACCAACGACGATCAGCACAGATCCGAAAGCTGAATGAAGAACGAAAAGATATGTCTCGAGCAGTTGAGGTGATTGTGAACCAAGCAACTGGAGCATTCCGCTTGCATGTCCCACCTTGTCCACATATTCTGATTCGATGCATTCCATTGTTCCTGACGCTTTTGATTTGGGGAGCCTGCTGCAACTGCTGTGGCTGCTTGCATGTACGTCCTCAGATTCCTTGCGCATGCTGCAGATCAGGAAAGTCCAGCGCAAAGGCAAATGGACGGACGAAACAGGATTGATTTGCAACGTTTGTCAGCGCACATTACATTGTTCCATACAATTTTGATCTGGGGAGCCTGCTGCAACTGCTGCGGCTGCTTGCATGTGCGTCCTCTGATGTCTTGTCCATGCAGATCAGGAACGTCCAGGGCAACTGGACGGATGAAACAGGACTGATCTGCACGTTTTCAAAGCTCCACAGCGCGTAGTGCGCGTTGTGACATAGTGTGTTGAAAGAGACAAGCCGATTGGGTGAGGGGCACCGGGAGAGCATACTACTGGGGCAGCACTAAGACATTACGAGGGAGGCTAGCCTGATTAGATTCCGTGTTGAAAGTCTGATGACTTTGGAATGTCAAGTGGAAAGAGTCTGATGATGTCTGATGTATGTTAGATGTTTCACTACGGCCAGAACGCAGTTGCTACATGCCTTCTTCAAGAATGCACCTCATCCAGCTCCTTCCATCCACTCCACCGTGTTGTTGTCACTTGCGACTCCGTCCCAGTCCATAAGGCACGAGTTAGAGTTCGTGATGTCCAAAAGGAGAGGCGACCCCGGCGCCAGTTGACGGCAAACAACCTGCAGAACCCCAAAGCTGAGGAAAGCACCTCATTTCGGCAGATGTGTGCTATGATGAAGTTCTGCTTCAGTGGGTTGCTAGGAGTTGAGAAGCGGGGACAAGTTGCGACTTGTTTTCTTTTGGTGAGTCTTATGAATGTCGCGCCTCGATCGGCGGTCGCATATTTTCTTGGGGTAGTTGAGCGTTTGATGTACTTGGAGGAAACAAAAATAGCGAACAGTTCCTTTGAATGTTCGTTCCAGATGTCCAGCTTGTTTTGCCTCTCATTCTCCAGGCCAATTGAAGGCACAGAAGCCTGGTGGATTGAAAAGAGAAGCAAGGAAGAAAAGGACCGTGGTATGGCTTGGCTTCTATCTTTCTCATCGTCTTGGTATGAACCAAGTAGCTAGGTATTGAGTCTTCTTGTTGAGGAAGGTATGTCTCAAGTCCTAAGATGGTCGGGCAGCACCAGGATTTGAAGACGACGAAGTTCTCTGCACTGCTTCAGGAGATGCCAGCTTAATAGTTGCGGTTGAGGAAGCTAGTCTAGAGCAGGCAACATGATTGTGGACACAGTGCTCAGCTCACCCTAGAATCACTAGAATCTGCGGGCAGGAACTAGTAGCTAGTATGACTGGAAGAGGACATATATATATATACATACATACTATATATACTATATATATACTATATAATTATCGACTAGTATGTGTGTGAAGAGACTAGGGGGGTAGTGCTTGATGTTCTTGGTAGACTCCAGGCAGCAAGCACCCACTTTCCCCTTCACGCAGATGGTGCACTGACTGTGAGGAATCTGTTTTGATGGCCATGCAGCACCCATTTCCCACAAAATGACCGTAAAAACGGGCCACCAGGAATTGATCTACCAGGCTTGCCGAATAGATGTGACTCCTCGTCACCACCCGGTCTACCCTAAAACGGACTCTACCCGGTCCCTCACAAGTGGCTCCAAGCTGCTTCGCGCATCGCGAAGGAGTTGGTCAGTGCATTGGCATCAGAAACAGCCATGGAGGTGCGGCCCTTTGTGACGATTCAGATGGAATCAGAATAGCAGCGGGTGTGAGCACACCGACGGGTGTATTATATACTGTATGTATGAAAACACGGAAGTGGAAACTCGTGTTGTATCGCGACCGCACGAAGTGTCGAGATGGAATCGAAAACGTGTCAACGTCTTTTCTAGCATGTGCGTAGCACGTGTGAGGTCTCAAGGGGCCCCTGCGGGGTGCAGGAGAGCCAAGTGGCAGCAACCGGAACGGTCAAAAGCTGCTCAACTCAAGTTGTACGGCGTACAATTCACACCGGTGGTGGTCTTTAGTACGACCTCCAAAACTCCAAATGCTTCTGGCTGCAAAAGGCGCAGCAGTTCCACTGTCTGAGCTGGGTGGCATCAGAGGAGGCCAAAGCTTGACAGTCTGCATAGGTGTGGTAGGACTTTCCAGTGCGGGTGGTGATGACCGCATCTGGGACCCAACTTCTGGAGAGCTGATCACGTACCGCAGCTAAACGGTTGTGCGCATCGATCCAGTTGTCGCGGGCCTTCTTGTACTCGGTGTCAATCTCGCGCATCTCGATCCTCATGTACTCTCGGATGTCGATGAGCTGTTCAATCTCTTCTTC